TAAAGCATACAGGTGAGTGGGTGTTTGTTCTGAATAATGCTATAATGCTTGGCTTGCTTTACTCTTCATTAGTAAACGGGACTCCTCAAAACCAAACCGCACTGAAAGTAAGCGCGGGGAAACACTACAACCTAAGATGATCAATATCTATCACTAAAAAGAGAAGTAGCTACTGTACTTGGGAGATCAGATACTGAAGGGGAAACAGAAGCATATTTTTTTTACTGGGAATAACCCACATCGGGGCCTAGGGGGCGAAAATGTAATAATAATAATAATAATAATAATAATAATAATAATAATAATAATAATAATAATAATAGTAATAATAGTAATAATAATAATAATAATAGTAATAATAATAATAATAATAATAATAATAATAATAAAGAAATATAAATATGGACAAAAATATCAAGAGTGAGAAACAATATATGTATGTTGTGTTGTCAAAGAGAAACAATTGAGACCCTGCAATCGTGTGAAAATGAGGCATAGTCAGATTTACAACTTGGGACTTGGTCACAAATTTTTTGATGCCATATGGCAGCAGGGTCCACCATTAGACAATACATTATGCTTCCAATATCCTCCCAGGCGGTAGTACCTCCGTCTGATAGCTGCCTAATACTACTAAAATGGTCCTAAAGTTAACCTGTATAATCAAATATCAAACAGTAATATATCGGTATAAGGGAATTTGGGGGGTATTTTAAACATATACAATAAGTATATCTTAAATTACGTTCGACTATGAGAGATTATCACTGACGAATACATCTCAAACATATATCTGTAAGGTTCAAGGCTCTATCTAGACTTGCGAGTTCAGAAAAATAAAATGAGAGAGAGAGAGAGAGAGAGAGAGAGAGAGAGAGAGAGAGAGAGAGAGAGAGAGAGAGAGAGAGAGATAGAGAGAGAGAGATATTCAATATTTCCTGTTACATGACACATGAATACCCCCCCAAATATGTATCAAACACACACACACACAGACTCTCTGATAATATGTAGGGAGGGGGACAAGGAAGACGAGGGTGGGGTGGTAGGAGGGGGAACAAGGGACGGGGGTAGGGTGAAGGGTGACGAGGTGGAGGGGGGACGAGGGAGACAGGGTAGTAGAGGTTAAGGGTGAGCCAGCACGAATAGATGTTAAAATATGGATTATTAACTACGGTTGTTACTCAGCCTTCGGTACGGTAGTAGTTGTCACCGTAACCTAGCTCTCGATGCTGCACATAGGAGGAACGAGAACGACAAGAGAAGGGCATATGGGGAGAGAATTCAAAATGTTGATCAAGGCAGCTTCACTCCTCTAGTGTTCACAACCTCTGGTGGATGGGCCCAAGTGCAAGATGTTTCTACGCCAGACTCGCGGAGCTGATCTCCGAACAGAAGCAGCAGCCCAGAAGTTATGTTACAGCCTGAATGAGATGTCGACTGTCCTTCTCTCTCCTTCGGTCGGCTTTGCTCTGCCTCAGGGGAACGAGAGCGTCTGCCCCTACTCCGACAACTGCTGCAGATATTGACTATGAGGCTACAGTCACTGAATGCCGCATAGATCTGCGGCTCAACTAATTTAACACAGATAGGATAGTTTTTATGTATTAGGATATTTAATATTAAGGTAAATAAATGGTGGCGAAGGTGTGGCTATTGGGGGAGGCTGGAGGCCACGTATTCTAAAAAAAAAAAAAAAAAAGTAAGGTAAGGAGGTAGGATAAAGAGGGAAGGGAGAGGAGGGGGGGGAGAGGAAGGAAGGGGAGGGGGAGGAGGAAGGGAGGAGAGGAAGGAGGGAGGGAGAGAAGGGTGGAAGAGAGGGACAGGAAGTGAAAGGAGAAAGATAAACGTGAAAGGGTGGAGGTGAATGATCAAGGTAACATAAGGGAGAGTTAGCAAAGAGAGGACAGACGAGAGAAGAGGGAGGGAAGCAGTTAGGTGGAGAGGGAACAACAGGAAGTGAGTGAGTGGAGAGGAGTGGTACAGGAAAGAGGATAAGTGAGTGAGGTGGATGGACGAAGGTGAAGGACCTGACGAAGTAATCAATGGAAAAAAAAACCAGATATGAATGGATGGCATGTCACCTACTTATCACTGTTCGTCGATTACAAGTATACCGTACACATACACCCTGCACTCTATCCCTCTGTGTTAGCAAGAGGCACTACGCGGATTTATACTCCTTTATCCCTCCACCATCCCAGAATTAGATCCAATTATCCACCATAGATCAGGGAAAGTCCACCCAGCCTTGCATGGATAACTTTACTGTCGGGGAAGTGAAGACGGTCGAGTGCAGTACCGGCCACACTCTTGTAGGTAAGGTTTTAGTCTGCAGTACGGTATATTTTCAATCTCATTAATGAGCCATAACTTCCATAAGACCTACAATACCCAGGACTCAAATCCGTGTCAAATACTATAAACAGTAACTATGGATACCAGATGACAGACAGACACTTCAGAGGAACACATCAATGTTAAGCTTTATCGTCAAGATCACTTCAAAGACATTCATTTCACTCTTCAGAAGTAGGTCAGTGTAAAGCGGTCAAGAGGAGGTAGTGGTGGTCGGTCCTGGCACCCCCCCCCACCCAACCTCATCACAACACTGACATAACAGGACCCTGCTTTAAGTCTTATAGGGCGTGTGTTTGACCCCCCGACACATATACAACACTCGCTCCGGTATAAATGAATATATATATAAATCTAACGGGTCACATATTTAAGTTGTCATGAATGGCAGTTTATGTTACGGGGTGGAAACGACAGCTCTATGGCAACGAGTCGTGTTAATGTAGCCGTAATGGAGAGTAACGACAAACAAACCATGATCAAGTTGCCATAAACACCGGCAAGGCTAAAGAGACAGAGATGTTAAGTCCCCCATTGACTTTTTGGAAGAGCGAAGCGCCTCACTCTCACACACACCACTATCCGGATTTATATGTAACGCCTATATCGAAGTCACTGTGAAGGAGGCTAGCTGGGGCGGCGATACAGTAAATGAACTCTTTGAGGCAGTTGTACGTACTTAATATACACAGGTAGTCTGAAACATAGCAGTACTGTATCGATGCTTCACCTTATACTACTAAGACATGGCATCAAATGTAACACTGAGAGGCTTATTCGCAGCACACCCAAACACTGTGGAAACCTCAATCAACATATTGCTTCTCTGTCCCGACTAGCATTTAGTGTTTTTTTTTTCCTTTATAAATCTTCAAATTTTGGGTAAGATACAACGAGGTAGAAATTTAAAAGACCCGGCAGGTGTACAGCAAAGATCCCCGTATTAAAGTTTCTCCATAAAATGACAGGAAAACAACAACTAATAATAATAATAATAATAATAATAATAATAATAATAATAACAATAATAAAATAACAACAATAATAATAATAAGAATAACAATAATACAATCCGTTAAATTCAGCATAAATCTCTCGCACGGGAAAAAAATTACGAAGTGAATCTCTGGAAACTCACACCCAAGATAGAAGCGAAAGGAAGTGGTTTATCACGTGACAGTCACCCATTACACTACTAACGGGCATTCTACCATTTACTCAACTTCTTTCACAACTCCTGTACACACCAACGTATACACACACATCGTACTTTATTTCAATTTCAACAGTCGGATCACATTTATAAATTATGAAAAAAAAATTAAGTAAATATGAATGAAATAGTGTTAATATGCTAAAGTAAAATCACTGATGATGACGATTAGTACCTGTACACGTATGACGCAACGTGTGTGATAAGGAAGGATAAGAGTGTTAAGCCATGACTTCTTTTATCAAGCAAGTTTGGCCATCACCCCATCCACCCACCTTTGTCTATCCGCGCGAAACTTAACCAATCATGATACTGTACGCAAGTCTATCCTCGTCCCATTTTATTAGTGTTTAGTAAGGATGCGTTCTGAGTCACCTGAAGAATAGCCCCTTGTGTATTTCACCTGAGAATTACGAGCCCTCACGCTATCTGAGAGGTGGGAGTCTGTTAGAATACGCTAGGGTTGTTAATATTAAGGCGAAATAAGCTGGGGCTAACCTTCATGTGATTTTACGTTCGTTAATTACAAAAAATCTCCAATATATAACAATTGATTTTAACCTAACTTGGTATGTGGATATATACAGTATATATATACTGTATATATATATATATATGACACCTACTCTTGTGGAGTTCTGTACTGGGGACAAGAGACGTGTCTACCTTACCTGACAACACTGTTTAATATGTAGTCTTAATAATTATAAATCTAGCTGAAAAATGTAACACATTAAATCAAGAGTGTATAATGATCATTTATATATACACACACACACAGCATCATTACACACACGCTATACCTCACAGTGAAGTGGACAAAAACACGGCGGCTGACGTATCAATACGTCAGCCGCCGTTTTTTTTTTGTTATTCTCGCCACGCACTGTCTGCCCAGCCAGACAGTTATCAGTCACCCGATAATGCATTACATCACTCATCAGCATTTTTAATAACCTCATCCACACACACAGACACACACTTGTACTATTGCCCTCATCCACACACACACACACACACTTGTACTTATGCCCCATCCACACTGGATTGTTAGACTAAAACATAGTCCATCCACACACACACACACTTGTACTACATTGCCCCCATCCACACACACACACACACACACACACACACCTTGTACCATGCCCCATCCACACACACACACACACACACACACTTGTACTATTGCCCTCATCCACACACACACACACACACTTGTACTATTGCCCTCGCACACACACTTGTACTAGTGCCCTCACACACAAACACACTTGTACTATTGCCCTCGCACACACACTTGTACTATTGCCCTCGCACACACACTTGAACTATTGTCATCAAGTAAACTTAAAAGAAGAACAGCCATAGGTGAGTGACTACCTTAGGTCACTTAAAAACTATACAGTACTGTGTTTACTGTACTCACCAGAAATATGTCATAGTACCATCATCAAAGAAATCCGTCGTCTTCTCTTCCTCCCAGTCATGTACAGGACCACTGGTGACAAGGGAATGGTCTGAGTAGGACAGGTCATTGGAGGAGAGATCATGATAGCTGTCTCCACCAAAGACTTCTCCATCCTCTTCACTCGTCCCATCATCTTTCTTCATCTTTCTGTTGGGAAAAAGAATGTCTCTTTACAGTAAAATTATATTTAATTTTAAGGGTTATTTCTCACTAACACTAGTATGTACAGTCGAGGAAATTAACCCTTACAGGACATTTCCAGCAGCAGTTACAGTCAAAGCAACAGCAATTCCCGTCTGTAAGAGGAAAAAACATAGCTTTTACAGGACAATTAAGACAAACAATAGTGTAACTACCATTTTTATGGCCAGCCACCCTTCATTCAGCAACTCGAGTACTGTACAGTATACACACAAAATACCTTGACAGTAGTGGCAACAATAGTCTTAACAGGGGTTATTAGAAGCCCATGTCTAATACCTTTAATGTTAAGTTGGAGGTAACCAGGTAAGTCCTAAAATCACAGAAACAGCTGCACATCACGTCTACCAGGTTAACCACAATAGCCATTTGGGTGGTCCTGTTGCGTGTTCGACTTTTCTACAGTTATGTAATTAGTCTCTCATTACTTCAACACAATTTAGTGTCACTGGGCTGAGCCACAGTCTTCAGTGTTAACATTTTGTAAACAATTATGTTTACATGTTACAAACATTAAATCAGGCATTTATGACAGATGCCTTGTTGTAATGTAGCAGTTCAGTGACCTCATTATTTTACTGAAGTAACTTTCTGGAGGATTTTCATACCGAAAAGTACCAAACCTAATTTTTTGTACTTGTACGTGAATAATTTTTTGCTTAAGTAATAGGTATACTGTACCGGTACGGTACTGTACTCGTGTCGTTTTTGTATAAATTGGAAGTACAGTACGGTACCAGCCATGGGCTGAATTTCAATAAACCAATCAGAACCATTACATTTGACTATTCCCATTACAGTACTTGTATTATATATATAATATGAAAATATCACTCAATCTTGGCTACCGGTATACAGGCAGTCCCCGAGTTACAAACGCCTGATTTATGAACGTCCACACTTACGAACGGGATCCCATTATATTTATCACAACAGGCTGTACCTAAAATCCCATTTATACATTACTTTATATTGTTTAACGTCACACTATTTACTGTGGAAGGGTTACCTAATAGACAGGGTCTTTGGAAGATTTAACAAACATTTCATTTCATCATGGACCATTCTGGTTTAGTACCCAAGAACAGAACTGTACCACGACTCACGGTACTGTTTACAGGTAATAAACCTCAATGCAAGGATGCAACGGAAACTTATGAATCATAGCAAGATACTTTATTATATTGCATATGTCGATTGGGCCGTTGTAGGTTAAAATACAATCACTAACACCAGACTACGCAAACTACAGTAGATGGTCACATAGAGCGGCAAAATTTCTGGGTCGGTAAAAATTTTAAAGTACTGTAAAGTATATTCAATAGATCCCTCCATAATGGTGAAAAATTTCTATAAACGTGGTTGTCATATTTCCTCTCAACTGGCAGAGTCTACCGGTTCACCTGCAAGCTTTTCAATGATGTTGGCTGGAAATTTAACAACAGTTGATTTCAGAGATTAGAAGCATTTAGGAGGCATGAACAATCCACACTGAATTGAAGGAATGTCATTTACCGTGCAAACTGATCCGTCGCATCTGGCCATGTTGATAAAGTAATGGCTAGACATGGAGCTGAAATTCAGGTACATAAGCACCAAATTTTGAAAATATGTGTCAATGTAATCTGCGTCCTTGTTCAGTGTGGTCGTACACTTTGTGGTTGTGATGAAGCTGTGGGTTCACCAAACAAGGGAAATTTTCTTGGCCTGATGGAACTATTATCAAGATCTGACCCTTTCCTAGAGCAGCAACTCCAAAACCAAGTGAATAAAGGCTGAGAACATACAATTTATCTGTCAATCACAAAATACAAGGAACTTATTGTCTTGTCGGGTATTTTAGTATCAGTCATCCGGAGAATCTTTGGAATTTAACTATAGGAATCACTTTGGGTCTGGGAAAGCAAACCCTCCTCCCCCCCCCCTCCTGTTAGGTTAGATATAGTTCCTGGGTTCTGTGACTAGGATAGGTTAGGTTAGGTTGGTTAGGTTTGATTAAGGATGACCAAAACTAAAATTTTACCTTATACTCTAAATGTCAGCCATGTGGACCAGTTAACATGTGTGTTGTGGTACATGACAGTTCGATCAACATGAGTAGAAAATACAATGGGATGAAAGCATACTATCACATTAATGATTTAATACCATAGCAAATGGCAACTGTAATTAATGGTAGAATGTTGTTATCATATGTATATTTAATGTGATTCTAAGGACAATAACTTATTATTTCATATATCATCTGTCTGTCACTTTATTGCAACTAAAACCCTACAATTAATACTTTATGAAATCTATCAATTTTGTGAAGATATACAATAAGACAGTAATGGATGGTGTCCTTTATATATACCATGAGTTTTATACTTCACACCCTCTCTGTTATCACCAAGGTAACCCAATATAAGTCGGCAATGACCTGTGCCCTGTACTGCCTGAGGTCAAAGGTTAAGACTGAGGCGGTAACCCTTCACCGTCATGACCCACAACCTCGTCTAGCATAACTTACCTATTTTTTGATGACTTTTAACACTGATGCGGGGATATTCAGCATAAGTGAATATATTCCAAGAGAAAACAAGAGAACAATCAACTGGACATGGAGGATATGGTTAAGGTATGTGTGGTGAGGGAGGACACAGGCTCACCACCACTGCCAGGTAAATACTGTGTCCGAGTCCCTGCTTCATCCCTCACCTTTCATTAATTACATCTTTATTACCTTTAGTCTTTAGTAACTCTTATATATAGTTATCAGTAAAAAAGAAAAAATATAATTTCAATTTACCATCCTCTTAAATATTAATCTACCGGGTAATAATTATGTTTTACATGTTGGTTAACACACATACAGTACATATTACTATATGTATAACAACTTGACATTAATTAAGAATAAATACGTGTTTTTTAGAGTTATAATATATTTAAAAAAAACTCTTAAGCTTTGTCGATTTGTTTTATTTCAATATGAACCATCAGCTTAGTCAGCATAAAGCAAAACAATCGGGTAGGGGAGAAACACTTCCCTAATAAATGACGTTTTCATAGCAAAGGGATCACTTAAACTTTAATTGTAGGTCGTTATACAACAGATATTCACTATGATTAAGTTATTTTCTATGAAGAATCAGAAAAAGGATGGTAGTGATGTGGCTAAACAAGGAACACAGAAACGAGCTTCAGCGGCCCAGCTAAGAATCACTAAAGGTAAGATAACCAACTATATAATACTTAATATTCTCATTTTTAGCTGATAAAACAACTAACTTCTGTTTTAGTTACTTTTATTTTTTGTTTTAATAAAAGTAATGAAATACGTGGAATGTGGTGAACTAATCTATAATGTGAACATATTTAGTGTGAATGTATGGTAGAGAATGATTATGTTTAACAGGGTGAATATTATATGAATTGTTATTTACTGAACAATATGTGGAATGGTGTGTAATGTGGGGGTATATATGGGTAGTAATATATGTGACAGGTGTTAAATAACGAGCCTTATTAATGACATTTACTGATGGGAACTTTTCAAAGTACTGTACCATGACGACGTTGGAAATAATTACTTAATATTACTAATATTTTATATGTTATCCTCAGTTAATGTTTATGGTAATCTATTATTTAACAGGAATAAAATAATGAGTGCCGAGACATTCAGAGACACTGGGAACTTTCCAAAGTGTCTCATTTCAGTACTGCTACATTATATAATTAATTGTTCATAAAATAACCCATACTTATCAATCCTAACCTAAATAATATAATAATACTTAGGTGACACTCAAATTCAGACAGGTTAGGTTAGTTTGATTCATTTTATGGTAGATAATGTAGCAGTATCTGTTAGACTCTAGAATGTTCCTTTTTCATGGAATGTCAACTATGCCATTCATGATTTTATGTCTGTTAAATACAAGATTTCCTTAATGTGTAATGGTCCAATCAGTAGGTGGATGGGTGCTAACGAAAATTTATTCATGTATACCTAAATATTTTTATGTATTTTGCTATAACCTATTCTCCCATAATTTGTATGTTTGGTAAAATTTGACTTAACTTGAAGCAGCTGAATATTTAATACAGTATTGGTAATTAGTAAGATTATTACCCTTACCTGAACCTAAGTACAGTTCAGAGTTTCACCATACTGTATAGACAGAAGGGCGATTTGGTTAGTCACCGAGATTTATATATGATTACAGTGGGAGTATAAAGCATGATAGAGTACTAATCCTTAATGGTATGGAAATTAACATAAAGCTTTATAGTTATTGATTTTAGTGTTTTCAGTCATAATCTGGGTGTGGTCACATGATACCATGGTAAGTGTTAAGGAAAGTAGCAACACTAAACTAATGATATTTGGGGTTTTATTGATAACATTTGGGTTACACTTAACAATTAATAGTCTGGGTTAACTGTTTATCTTATGAAAAACTTCTAGAAGCAATCTTGGTAATAGTACATATTATTATTACTTCTTAATTACCAAGGGTAGGACATCACACCATATAGTAGAAGGTAAATGCTTCCATATCACAAAAAGACCAAAACCTGCATGAGGAATACATTTTATGTAATATCCCTTTTACGATTAATTTATTTATGTCAGGAGTTGAGATTGACAGGCATTCCCAAATCATTCTTGCTGGTTCTTGTTCAAAACTTAAGTATTGTTGTATTTTATAATTCATCATTCATAAAATATACCAAACTGACCTACCTAACCTACCCAAACCTAACCTAACTTAACATAACCAAACAAAACATAATCAAACATAACCTAACTAAACCAAACCTAACCTAACATAATACAGTTTTGTTCTATTCTGACCTAAAATAGAGAAAAAAATGTGTTTGAAAAGAACTGTTTGCCTGTACAGTACTCAAGGAAGCTAAACAAAGCAGATAGGGAACTTGGCCATGACTAACACAGACAGAAGAATTAAAAAATTATAGTGATATTATGCAAAAATAATCGTCATGTACTTTTTGCCTGTTTCATGAGGAAGGAATGTATTTATCTTCAATGGTGATATGTCCTATGGTGATTAGCTAAAATGGTATACTAATATGGAGTATTGTATTACTGTACTTGGGAAAAAATCTGACTTCAAGACAAGAATAAGTAAATTGGAAAGGAGACTTGCATTGCTTGTGATTTGTTTTTTGCCTGGTATTTTCCTGTAAATAAAGACACTGCTGATATTGGGGTTGTCTTGTCACTGGGGAACCGAACCCTATTTTTCCCGTATATTATGATATTCAAGATAAAAAAATTCACTTGACAGATGACTTTCAAGGAGCCTAACCATTTTGTAAATTGAGGGGTACCTGTACTTTACAGTACAGGGGGTCCCTGGGTTACGAATGGGTTCCGTTCCTGAGGACGTTCTTAAGTCAGAAATGTACGTAAGTCGGAACACATACTGTACTACAGTACATATGTTCATACCATTCTTACAGAACAATGTTTAAAATCCCACAACTGTGTATCATAGCCTAAGTCCTTATATAACATCTAAAATCACTTACTTTAAGACAAAATAAGAAATAGAATGACAAAATACAGTAAATGAAAGTAAATATAAGTGATCAGGTAAATAAAATACTGTATACAGTACTGTAAATTTAAAGTTTAACCCCGTTCGTATCGGCGGTCATTTGTAATTCGGACGTCCGTAAGTCGGGGACCTCCTGTATTATGAAAATTGCATATTCCTGTACTTTGGGGTAGGGAGGGCTTCCTAATGTAAGAAATAATAATAAATTATCGTCTCTACAAAAAATTTCTAATGTTGCTACTTGTTTAGCGTATGGAATTGAAGCGTTAATGTCTATGAAATGTTCTTGCTCGCATAAAAAGAGTTTGCAAACATGGTGTCATTGCGGGAATAACTAGGGAAGCAACATTATATGAAGAGCGCTATTTCCTCCTCCTAATTTGGATTATTATTCAGGTTAGAAACAAGTTTTCTTTTATGGAGTTATTTTATTAGGTGGCTGGTTAACCTGGATCACTGCTCTTGGCATACTGAACACTTGTTATATGACTATTTGCAGTTAATGGATTGAGTATTATACCTGAAAAAAAGGCAACTAAAATTTCTATCAAGCACCAAGTGGATTGTGACGTTCTATTCTTTTAGTACTGTACATTGACAATACTTATTCTTGAACTTTGTTTGATTTTAGGTTTTAATGAACTACTGTACAGAGCACGAGCAAAAGTTGAAGGAAAGAATGGGATGATTATTAATTCTCAGTGGTTAGTTCCTGGCACTGTAATACTGAAGGGAGATTTAGGTCAAATATGGTTTATTTTTATTTGCCATATTACAGTACAGTATGTGGAGACTTTGGCTTCCTTAGTGTTTCATACAGTAAGTAAATGGACAAAGGTGTCTTTGTGGATGGCACTGACAGTAGTAGCTATTTTGTATTCTTCTGGATTTTCACTACACTACAGTACAGTACATATGTTGCTATGCATACATTGTAATTCCAGAAGTATATCAAGGAAGAATTTATTTTGAATTTACAGGCATCCCTTGATTTATGAACATTCAATTTACAAAAAACTTCATTGTTGGAAATTGCAAAAGTAATAGAACAAATTCCACTTAAGAAGCACAATTACGCATTTACAACATTTATTCGGGTGTACTGTACATGAGAACAAATTTATTTCCTGGATAACATACAGTATTTCTCTAAACAGTTACCATAATCTATAATATGTGCAGACAAACTACAACTTACAACTTTAAGCTAAAATAACATTGTGAAAGTCTTGTACTGTACTGTAGTCATCATGGCTCACAAGACTGATACAGGAGTCAGCCACCAGATGCTGACCAAGGGATTTCAGGTGTAGGTGCTCTGATGTGTGCAATATATTCTCCCACAGTGCTCTCTGATGAATAAAGCAAAATACATGTACATATAAAAGAATAAACATGTACAATATAAAAAGTTAAATGAATACATATGTGGTACTGAGCTGTATCAAACTGTTCTGCTAAATCTGTACCAAAAATCATATACAGAACTGTATAATAAAAGCAAAAGATATACAATTTACTATATGGTATGTACAATGAATGACATTAGCTGGTGTATCACTGCAGAATGAAAAACATGCACACCACAAACACTGGTGTAATGTCTCAATAATTACAGTACCTCGTTATTCAGTACTATTTACCTCTCATACTGTATATGGTAGTCCTTTGTTCACATACCAAGGTAATTCAAATTACATGTATCTGTACTCCTGCTTATAATTTTCAGACATCAATGAGCTGACATTGCCGAAGACCTGTGACACAGAATTCCCAGATCCTGATGATCTTCTGAACTTCAAATTAGTTATTTGTCCAGATGAGGTAAGTTATCATAGAGACTGTCTCGCTGGATGGAGGCCATTTAATTGAAACTATTAGACAGAGAAGCTAGTATATGTAACCAAAGTTGTGTCTTCTTTCTATTGACAAGACTTTTCAGCATAGCAATTTTTTCAGAGTGAAATGAAGTGGAGACCATTGTAAAGTGGATAGTGAACTACTTTTTATTTCATTGCTGTTGTTTGAAGTTTTTGTAGCTAAAACTAGTTCCAGGACCCCAAATAAATACATCTTATATTGTTCATGCTGTGCGAGTTATTTTTCTGTACCTGTTTAATATTCATCATTGATATTTTGTATATGCGTATAGGTACAGTAGTAAATTTCTGCAGGACACTCAGTGCTTGGTAATAGTAAATTAACATTTCCATACATGTACAGTTTGGATATTTTTATATTTGAACAGAAGTATTATTTTTTTTTACTATAGGACAAATGAACAAGACATAATTTAGGTATTTTTGTATTTGAACAGAAGTATTAATTTTTTTATTATAGGACAAATGAATGAGACATAATTTAGACTTGAAATTAACCCTGATTTCTCCCACATTAACAGGGCTTTTATCGAGGAGGCCGCTTTGTCTTCAGCTTCAAAGTCGGTCCAAACTACCCACATGAGCCACCCAAAGTAAAATGTGAAACAATGGTAGGTAATGGTAAATTGGTCCTTCTTGATCCATGTAAAGGGAGTAAGAATATACACTTTTAACAATACAATATTTAACTTTTTTCTTTCACTCAGTCCAGATGTATTTCAGATCAAACATTAATAAATTCTTTGTTATTATTTTAGGATGATTCATTCTTCTGTATTTGATAATTTTATATATATATATTACAGTATAGTGTAATGAATGTGTTCGATTATAATTAATACGTAAACACAAATATTCTCTCTAGGACATTTTATTAAAGATTACATTTATTTACGATAAAACCCATTTTATAAGATCTTTAAAAACCTATGGGATATTTAGCCAGGTAGCTGCTTCGTGGGTTGCAATCTGGATGTATTGATTGTACTATAACTCTGTCGTCTGACCTAGTTCACTGGAGGCTCTGCACAGTTGACATGAGTCTCGGTGATTGACACTCAGTTTGCCTTTATTGCCTTGCTTTATAATATCTCCATTTACGTAAGATAAAGAGTTGTCAGCTCTAAGGATGAACTACATTTTCCCACTCAAAAGACAAATGGTACATAGGTATTTATGGAAGAATTAGTAGTACATTAAGCCATCTGATGAAGAGACTTGTCAGTAATGGACGTCTTTTTGTCCAGTATAATTAGTGGACTCGGCTCTTAAGGTCCAGTATTGTATTGGGAACATTGTTTGTTATATTGACCAAGTGGTTAGTATCAAGGAAAAAGTGGAAATTCTCCAAAAACTCTCTACAGAAACTCCATGACCAAGTGTTTCAGATTCCCGATACTCAAGTGTACCATATAAGTTATGCAATTTGATGGCTCGGAAAGGTGGTGTGTGAATTTTTTTTTTATTATTTTTTGTATACATGGTGAAAAGGAGGAAACCCTCTCAATAAGGGACATGGCTTACATGAGTTAGTGTGGTATTGGAAGGGTTTACTGTATTACTGTACTGTATATATAAAATGAGGATTTATTCACCTTGCATGACTTCATCTTGCACATGGACATTCACACAAAGTGCTGTTCTAAGACTATTCCCGAGGCAATATTCTTCCACCTGACACCACAGGTTTTGACAGCGCAGAGAGACAGATCAACAACTGTGGTGTAATTCAACCATTTGGGTGTCAAAGTCGAAAGATTGCTAAGTAATATGACAATGTTCATTTTGTCTGAATTATCATCAAATCTGAATTAGTGAAGAGTGAGTTTAGAGAGGTTTGAGTGCACCAACTAAGCTAACCCTAATTAACTGTGTCCAATACTCCGTTCACTATCATATCTCTTTATTCTGTTACTCCTCCAGGGGTCTGTGTTTCTCACTTGTACAGTAACATCAACTCATCACCATCTTTACCTCCTCTGACAACGTTCTCATTCACCATGTATTTCTCAGTGTACTTATTACAGTACAGGGGGTCTGTGGGTTACGAACGGGTTCCGTTCCTGAGGACGGTCTGAAGTTGGATTTGTACGTAAGTCGGAACATATGCTATGTGCATACCGTACTTACAGAAGCATGTTTAAAATCCCACTACAGGAGGTCCCTGACTTACGAACACCTGCTGATACAAACGGGGTTAAACATTAAATTTACAGTATTTTTTTGCACGATGACTTATTTTTTACTTTCATTTACTGTATTTTGTCATTCTATTTCTTCTTTTGTCTTAAATTAAGTGATTTTAGATGTATATGAGGACTTAGGCAAGTGTTTCGATTCATCTACAAATCTGACTTACGAACGTCCTCAGGAACGGAACTCGTTCGTAACCTGGGGACCCCCTGTATTTTCTTTTCCTGTGATTCTGTGATTTACTTTTCCACTAATTGTTCCGTTTGCTAACACATTTATTCCCAGGTACAGTGTATTTAATTTAGCAAAGTTAACTAATGAAGCAAATATTCTCTCAGGTGTACCATCCCAACATTGACCTGGAGGGGAACGTTTGCCTTAACATTCTACGAGAGGACTGGAAACCGGTCCTTACCATCAACTCTATAGTCTATGGGCTTCAGTATCTCTTCCTCGTTAGTATTTCATTGATTATTATTTGCAGATATTTTATGATTGGGACTATGCTAATGACCTGAATAAATGTGAGCTAACTAAATTCACGATCTTTACCATAACACGTACTGATAACAGCAGCTGGACCTCAAACTATAGTTATAATTCCAGCTCGGATTTGGATTCATCAATTCTAAAAGAAAATAATATCAGAATAGTATGGATGATGACATTCACAACTAAGAGACCACATGACCATGATGAATTGCCCCAAGAAAATCATTGTCTCATTCGCCTGATTGTACGAAGTGTGGCCAGAATCACTCCTGGGTTGTTGCTGTTCTCATTAGTTTTATCACTCACCATATTGGTCATACATGCTGTTTCATCTCTTAGTTGTGTGTTTATTTATCAGCATTAAGATAGGTTCAAATGACCTTTCTTTTCATGAAAGATAATACTAATAATGATTACTAATTTATTGAGAAAAATTACAGCAGCCAAACTCTGAAAATTTGCAATGGACAAAACTTGCATATAAGTACAATACTGTATTACATATAATGTCATTGGGGAGTGGGTATTCTAAGAAATGCTTTCACCACCGAAAGGAGAAGATACATGAAGTGAGCATATACTTTATCTCTGAATCACTGGTTGGAAAAGGCCTGGTGGTGTAGTCCTGTGTGTGAGGCTGGATGTTATTGTACCCTGTATTGTCAAACAGCAACACGTGGTTGAGGTGGCAGGTGGTGTTAGTGGTGCTGCCACAGCTTGGTCCCAAACTCATAAATGGAAACATGAGAATGATCAGTGGGAGTTAAGAGGGTCAGTGTACTGAGTCTCTATTGATAGGTGGATTATAGTAACAATGTGACACTTGTCTAAGGAGCCATTGTCGTCTTCCACATAAAAAAAGTGCAGCGGGAGTTGTCATTGGTGTTGTAGGATGATCTCTTCGGTGGTGTTGTGGGAAATTAAACATTGGCAGAGTGTTTTCACTGATTTCTTAGATCTTACGCACTGTTCCACACTATTTTCATTTCTTTTTCAATTAAGATTATAATTTTTTGTCTCAATTGTAGATTGATCAATGATCATCATTTTGACTTGGTTTTCTTGGTAAAAGTTTGTTGTTTATGGAACTCTGTAGAATGGAGGGGCTGAGATGAAGGAGATAGGAAAGTGTGGACAGGCTCGCCCAGGCAGCTACAGGAGTGCCAGATTAACTCTACCTCGCCTCATGGTGGTCGTAAAATTAATGACAGTCGTGCAGTAATTGTGCTTGCATGTGTTTGAAAGATAACTACTGTACACACATAGTAGTCTCAAGTCACTATAATAATAACATAGTATGATGGGGAGGTAATGATTCAATAAGAACTTACATATCCTCAGCATTCTCTGATCAATTACTCGTATGCATCAAACATTTATTCCCTGTGAAGTCAGTTTTCCAGCTTAACTCCCTCGAGCCAACCCATTGACTTGGTAGGGTTTATATTGAGCTCTTTTGGTTGGGCCAAATTGGTTTTATGAGAGTTCTCATCATCATAACCACTGTTTTATGGCAATTTTCCAATGCTTTGGTTCACTGTGATTACCTGATGACAGCTCTCCATGCTGCACAATTTCTTGCAGCCTTTCACCAGGTTCAGATCTCTGAGTCCATTTCTGCAACCTCTCCCCATGTCATTCTTTGCCTACTTCTACCTCTTTTCTCCCTCTACATTCAAGGTTATGCATCTTTTGATCCAGTTGGTCTCCATTCTCTCCATATGCCTAAACCATTTCAGCTTACCTCTAGTCAATACCTTCCCATTATTCTCTATAGTCAGCTGCACCTCTAAGTTCTCAACAGTGTTTTCTATATTTCAGTGTCACTTTATACATCCATCTCACCATTCTCATTTCAGTACACTCAATCCCACATACACTATCCTCTTTAACTGCCTATGGGTTTTTCCCCCATGTAACATCACACTTTTCTCCAACCTCCTCTAATTCAATGCCATCTTCAGCAGTGATTGTGTCACCCAAGTAGCAGAATTCAGCAACACAGTCTTGGGATATACTGTACTGTACTATATCCATGATTACCTGCATATACAGTACAGGGGGTCTTAGAGTCAGCAACATCCTGCTGTCTACTTCAGTATTTACACAACTGTACCTCTATTGTACCCATCTTCTGTACTCGCATCACAGTATTAAATTATACTGCTAATGCCTTTCTTAAAGAAAATACATATCCATTTTCTACTCTTTGCCAAGGTCATTCACCTATGTTATTAATCATTACTTTTGTTTTTGCCACATATAAAAATTTCATTGCCTTTGACTCCATTCCATCCTTCCAAATCTGAATTTCAACACTACCTTTTCAATTTTCTCTTCTATCACCACCTAAGTCATAAGAATACAACTACCTCCAGGGAAGACCGTCTTAAAATCCTCTGATAATTGAAGGAGGAGAGGGAAGGGGCTGAAAATCTGCTTTGAGCCAGTGTCCAAACACAACATTATAGTGCTGGCTCTGATGCTACTCTACATTCCATGTGTTTGTGCAAAGTGAGTTTTCTGACTGATAACACTCCAGCTTTAGATTACCAGGGCAGAGAACAGTCATCAAGAGTGTCTCTACCACATATACACTTTATTTCATCAAAGAGCCGAGTCTTATGCCCTATTTCTGAAATAGCTTCCCAGCTGCTCTATGCACTTTAACTTTTTTAATAAATATCCACTGGCTCCCACATGTTTTTATAACTTTTATATATAAGGGCCATCTGCATAACCTCAAGCACAATAAAGGGAGAGATTCTTTTATGATTAAAGGTGATTGAATGAACTACATTCCCTTCCTCCTCCTCGGGTTATGAGATAGAAGCAGTGAGATTAACCAACTCTGTAATCCTTATATGTGACTCCGTCATCTTTTCTGTGATCATGTGAAGTGGAGGATGTTTTTTCCAGGGGAATCTGTCATGACAACAGCCATATCATTTAGAGGCCATTTTTTGTTGAAACTGATGGATTCAGTTATATATTTAAAAAATAATTATACTAGTTTGTATCTACCTGCTGTGATAGTACGAGATATTTGGAGGTCATTGGCTCTCATATAAGTAGGCAAGCTGCTTACCTGTGATCTTCAAACAGGATTTCAGGATTGATTCCTCATATTCTTATATTTTCTCGTGCCATTTGTTAGTATTTACCTTATGAATATTGTAAAGAAATATGAAAAATTATTAATATAGTTTTTCAGTCTTTTGAAAGCATACTAGACCATTGTTACTTTAATTTTTGACAATGTTTAAAACTATTATATCTCTTTATCCAGGAACCTAATCCCGAGGATCCATTGAACAAGGAGGCAGCTGAAGTGCTACAGAATAACCGACGGTTATTTGAGCAAAATGTGGTTAAGAGTATGAAAGGTGGCTACATTGGCAATGTTTACTTTGACCGCTGCCTCAAATGATTCCATACAAGTGGCTCCAGAGCTCTCATCATCTAAATGGGTGTCCGGAGTGTGTTTAGCTTGGAGTTGAATCAAGTTCGTGGCTTTTTTTATACATTACTTAGTAATCAGCTTGCGGAGGATGCTTCCTGTATTTTTTTTCACAATAATATTTATTTCTTAATCATATTAAATTTGGTCATATAAAACTACTGAAAGGCTCAAATAAACTGTACATTGATATTCAGTCCATTACTTTATCTTCATGTCATTACCATATCATTTTACTGTGTATCTTTTTCAATATGCTTTAACTTATCTCATTGACCTTAAGTTGCCATGAGAAGGTTGCTTGTGATTCTCCTCCCAAGGGTACGTGCGGCTAAGGTCTGTGAGACCTGATCTTTCCTTGTCGTGTTTGTCTTTTGTCTGTTTTCCTTAGAACCACGAAGAGCTTCATCAGTGTTGATATGCTATGTGACCAGTCTTAGTCACAGCCAGGAGTCTTCTCTCCCTCCAAGTCTATTCCACTGCTGACAGCACATACTAGCAATATTTGGGATTAAAGGTGATCTCATGTGGCCTAGTAAAAATAGCAATTTGCTAAGTGGTCAAGTAACATATCAATGGTATCAATGCAGATCATATCCTCCATTAGATCAATTTCACTGCTACGCAATGATATGAGAGTTGTCAGCTATTTTTATCTGCATATTATTAATTTTATTTTCTTCTTATCAACCCAAAATATGGGCTTCAGGATGTTAAATTATCCAGTTTCGTCCAGTATTAAACGGTGGTTAATTTGTTGCTTACCATATATTGGAGTGCTATTTATTGATATATGGCTTATGTTTGGGGATGTGACCAACAGGTGAAAGCATAATAATTGGATCACCGGGTGATCTTATTAGCACGAGCAGTCGCAGAAACTTGACATTTATGGCAGCAGATGATGTTAACTGCAAATTAACAAGTGCTGTTCAATATCACAGGATTTGTTGATAGATTTAACAATTCTATTAGGATCTGATACAGGTAATGGCTTGACTTAAAGACTAGCAATAACACTGACCAAACACTGTTGTTCGTGGTTGTGGGACATTAGCTTGACAAGAGTTTAGAAACATGAAAAAATGTCTTGTAAGATGAGGATGTCGACATTTTACATGGGTTTCTTACGGCCACCATACTTATACCCTGTTATCCAGCATCTAGTTAACCTGTTTTGCTTTTTTAAAATACTCAGCCAGTCTATTACACAGCATCCTTTATACAGAAGGTTCTCATAGATCATGAAAACCAGATTAATGTTTAGATTCTTTTTCATTACACTGTAGTACATAACACACCCAAGGAACACACACAGACAAATTTTTAGTCATGATGGAAGAGATTAAAATGAAATGGTTCTCAGTATTGAAATATGAGATTTACTGGATTGTAGACAAATACAATCAGAACTTGAACATCAGATTTTGTGGTGAAAGACTTTTATGTAAAACAAAGAACAGATTTTATTCTCAAATAAGATATTCTCCTGAACCAGAACTTTTAAGAAAACAAGGACTTTTATGAAACCAACAATGGGCAGATTTTGTTCAGATTAGAGATTCTGCTGACCTACCTCCTGGGCAACAAGGCCTTTTTGAAACCAACATTTGAAGAGGCGGGTAGTGGTGTTGAGGACGGTATGAGTGACGGCAAGAGACAACCAGTAGCCATGATGTAATGTTGCAGGGACATTTATGAGATTGTTGTCGTCCAAGAATTTACCCCATTTACTTTTAAGATTTAAGATATTTTGATATATCTGTATCACATGGTTTTGGATAGTATTTATATAGCAGTTTGAATGAAACAAAAGAGTAACTGTTGTTTGTTTCATTTAATGTTTTTTCCACTCACTAATGTGGTGTAATGCACTCTCCTATGTATTACATAATTTCACAAATTATGAATTTCAGGAGATGAGGAGGAAGCTACCTAAAATGATATGTTGCTTTTTTAAATTTATTTTTTGAAATGGGGGTTAATTTGTTTGTAATACACAAAATATATGACAAACCATTGTATATAAGCTGAAATGTACAATGTATTTATTTTTCTTTTGGTACATTGTGCTGTACTGGCTCATTTTTCTTCCTGCGTCTTGAATGTTTTCTACCCATTTTCCTTTTGCCGAAGTATCGTTAGTTATTGAACTTAAGAACATATTCTTTACCACAGTTGTGACATCATGAAAACATATACAAACAGAAATGTGCTTTTGCAAACAAAATTACTAGAATAAAATTCAGCATTACCTGTGTTTGCGTGAATTATTTACCCTATTGCTAGTCATTGTTGGTGGTTGGTCTCGATAAAAAAAATAGTGATTAATGTCCATTATAGATAATTAATTGATGAATTGCCTCATTTTAGTTGTATGAGAAGTTGAGTGCAAAGAAAATACAGTAGTAGTAAAACAGAGCATTATAAATTAATACAAAAAATTTACAGGAAATAAATCAACACCAGAAAAACAAAATTCTTGCTCAAGTTGGACTCCAGCATTATCTTTCAATTTCAACCTCTAAAAATATCAATAACTGCAATTTCAGTATTACAGTATTAATCACTAAATTTTTTTAATCACTTTTCCAACCAAACAAGACCATTTCGACTTTACAACACCTTGCTTATCCCAGTAATTTCATATTGAACTATAACATACCCCAAAGACTAAAAAAATGCATCTTGACATTCACTCGACAAAATCCACCAACTTAACTGGCTAAGGATTCCCTTATCTGCTCCCAGTAAGTAGAAAAAGTGGAATGCAAGTAATATGAAACCCACTGATGGATGCTGCCATATAAGAGTTAATGATCTCTTGATAAAATAATATACAGTTAACCCTCACTTTACGCGGCCCCACATTCCACGTTTACGCGGTGCCCTGCCGGAACCCAGGATGCTCACATTCCGCGGTGCGTGTACCCCTTTACGCGGAGAGCGGCTGGCGAGCCGCGCCATTTTTGGATCCAAACCTCCTGCCATCCGCCATGTTGTGTAAGCTGCGCGAACATGGTGCGCACAAGGTCGCCCAGTCATCAAAACATTACCAGTTCTTCACCCGCCACCCACCACAGCCGGCCCAAGTCAGTGATAGTGATAATTATGGTGAGGATATGGACTTATATGGACTTTGGGGAGTTTGACAAAGAGGCCCTGCAAGCCTCTGTGGTGGATAGTGATACAATTGATACAAGTGACACAGGTGAGGGCCAATAATCTGCCCTCTGCCTCGGAACCAACCGCCCATCCCCGTGTGCCCAGCCATTTTTTCTACTAATGTAAGTGTTAAAAAACCTAATATTATTGATATTTCTCTTAATTATTAATTGTGTGTGCATACCATCATAAAGTTAAGATAATATTTTTACTACAACATAGTTGTGTGTCGTCAAAAAGTGGAGTTTGGGGATCGGCCCGGACTCCATTTCAATTAATCCCATATGTTATGTTATTCACTTTACGCGTTTCTCACTTTACGCGGGACCCTCCGGGTTACATTAACCGCATAAAGTGAGGGTTAACTGTATACTGTACAGTATTACTTGAAATACTGTATAGAATTGAGTATTATGAATCAAACTCTGAAATGCAGGCAAAGATTAATTGAAGATTTATTGAGAGACTTGCAATTAATTTTTTTTTTATGGAGAATAACCCACTGGCACAGGTCATCAACCCACAATGGGGCCTAGGGGGCAAAAAAATAAAGAGTAAAAAGAAATTAACAATAGAAGAGAAGAAGACTATATTAATCTACACCACAAAGATGCTGTAAAACCATCTTTTTGAAGTGAGACAGAGTATTCCACAGTGTGGCTGTGTGAGGAAAGAAAAATGTACTGTAACGGGTTATTCTAGTGTAACCGACATCCACACATTACCTGAACATTACCCTTTAAAGTCCCTGTAAAAGAGAGTGAGTGTGAAGCAATATTGTGGCAAAGAGAAATTTATATGAGTGATTTCCAATGCAAGTTTCTAAATACAACATGCAACAAGTTGAAGACCAGAGAAAATGTTTTCCCAATTAAAGTACTGTGCTATACAAGGAGAAATAAAAATTACCATCTTTTAATATTAATCCTGTAATAGTAAATACAGGGTACAGCTTTTTTATTATCAACAAAATATTTGGTATAATGGAATTAATAGTATTTAGAAAAAATCATAAAACATATAACTACTTTCCAAATTTAACTAAATTATGCAAGGCTGTAGTTACGACCCTGCCTTGCCAGCTATACCCACCCTGTTATCAAGTGCTTCCAGGTGTAAAACTTTGCTTCATGATACCTGATGGGCAACCAGGTCACCCAAAGCTGTGCCCATCACCTGATCTATGCTGCATTTTCTGATCTGTCTCCCTTGATTTATGGTGGTAAGGAGAGGAACATCCCTTTCTGGTTGTACCCAAAAGCTGTCATCAGGTAATCGCAGCTAACACATGCAAGAGTGGGAAAGAGCTGTAAAACATTAATAATATTGTAAAAGACGTGAGATTTGATAAGGACCGGACCCATGTTGCTTAACTTTGCTGATCGAACAAGAAGCGGTTTTTCCAACGTGGTACGACTGATAATGTAGTATGTGGTAGCTCTATTAATAGTTCCTGATAAAGGGATGAAGGTAACCTGAAATAATATTCAGAATAAGTTGCAAATTTTTTTTTATCTCATATCATTACATAACAGTAAATACATAAAGTGATTTTAAAATGAAAGAATAATATCAGAAAATGGACTATAAGACGACAGACATGTGGATAAAATGAATAAAATAAAATTGACCCAATCTCAAGTATTTTCTCCGAGCTATTTCCTGCCAATTTGTTGCACCAGACGGAATTCACAAGTAGCGGGAAGCTGCCAGGAAAATCTTACCACCAAAACGCACATTCAAAGTGAAATCACAAAGAGTTTAAACTTGAGACTTTATTCTCAGCAAAAGAGCAGGATGTATTATATGTTAAATGTTGTAATAAGGACTCAAGTTAAAAAAATTATTTCAGTATCTGTAAAACCTATGTACTGTAACTTTCCAACAACCGCATAACACTGATTAAAAACTGAACAGAAGTAGGTCACGTAGGCCAGTTAAACCGTGGAGGCAATTGGATACAGTACACTGTAACATAAGCCTTTTTCAGATACACATGTAGGTAAGGTGACCGTCACTTAATTTGACAACGTTCACTTAAAAGAGATAGGCCACATGATCAAAATCGTACTACTAATTCAAACAGCTTGAAAATCATATCCGGTAATTTGAAAATGTATATTAATAAATCTAGAAATTTCCATTGTTCCGTGAGTGGATAGTTGGCTTGGACAAAATGACGTAGACAGTTTAATATTCTTCTTTGTAGGAATGAAAAAAATAAAAAAACATATTCATCATTAATGTGAACTAAGCGGGTAATTTTATATACCAGAAAACGGTCGATTCATTTATATTTACTAATATGTATGCCTCTGTTAATGTAGGGGTTATAATTTTTTGAGGGAGCCTCCTGATTTTACCCATAATAATCGTATATATTACTTTTTCGGTATAAAACTTTTAACACTTCTAGGCAACAAATAAATAATAAAACTTAAATAAATACAGTATGACCAGCATGACCTTATGACACCAACACACGTAACACTAAAAGACAAGTGACAATTCTTCCTGACACAAGAGTAATTTATTCAAAGGGATTGTAAGTATATCAACAAATAACCAGATTCATCCACAAATCTAAAAAAATATATATTCATTGATAATTAATTTACGCATACACACTGAAAAAAAAAAATCTGAACTGCAAAGAATTCCTTTAAAAAAATGGTCCTTGCAATTTTTATCATCGTCACCATTCATCAACTCCGTGTGGCTGGTGTTGCTTGAGTTGATTCAGATTTCAGCTACAAAACCCCTGAAATTGGGATTATTCTTGTGCAGAACATGGACCAAACATTTAGAACATATTTTTAATGACTGCAAAGATAAATAGTCATTATATTCAACACCACAAACCATCGTTATATCAAGAAAACAGCGAGTGAGACAAACGGGGCCAGGCAAGGAGATTGACTTCTTCCACAGATCTAGGATGGTAAGTGTTAGTTACCTTGTTTACTTGGTGAATATTAGACTGTTTAAATTATCCCTAGAACATAATCTAGATAAAATAAAGTGATTTTCAAATATTAACCTAAAATTAAACAAGGCGTATTGATGATTGACAGGGAATATTCCATCGTTTCCTTAGTCTCGAGGAGCCAATGGTATATTAGGCATACAGTAAATATAATATGTCATTTATGTACCAAAATATTCCCCACGTGATCCACAGTCTACCTATTTTATTAAAGAGACCCATCCAGTCAACCACTTCCTTAGTTATGCTGTAATACTGTAACGTTTTGGCGCAATTAGTTATTATTTTAACAGTGAAATATTTGTTCTTTATCACGAAAATATCTTATATATACAGCAGGAACAATATGTCATTTGTGGCGGTGACTAACATATTTAAAAGGAACCCATGAATATAATACAATATGCAAATTACAGTGGTGCTGGGGTTTATCCAAAGTTTTGCGGTTTATGTAGTTTACTGTAGGTCATCCATGTTTTCTATTATAGATAAAGCCTTTATAATTAAGGGTTCAATGTTTAAACACTTTAGAACTTCACATTTTCATAATTGATCAACAAATAATGTGTATTTTTTTTCGTGTGTGCAACTGAAAAATATGAAGGAATTTAAATAAGAGCTAAGTTACTCCGCTAGACTTGTAGTAACTGAAGGCGAGATACTGTATTAGAAACCCTAACCTAACCTAACCATAACTTCAGGATGTAAAGTGTTTGTTTGTAAGGGTAATAATATAGTATCGTCCCTTTTCCTATAAATACACAAGGGCATTGAATAATTCCCGTGCAAACCACCACTTAATGATATTGGGAAGTTATTTAATCGCAATAACTATTTGTTTGGTTCGCTATATGGATATTATGCCTTTCACGATATTAAACGTTGATATACCAGAAAGATTGAAAGACTTTTTATACTCTGTACAGTGAACATATATTGTGTTGTGCTAAACTTGATTAAATTAATGACCACCATAAAGACTTGTAAAGTATTGTGAGTTTAGTTTTGTCTATTTTTCTGATATCCGTCGCGTCTTGAATTATTTATTTGCTAGTTACCCAATAAAAGAAACTGCTGAAATAATTTGATTAGTTTATGGTCAGGTCAGC